AGGAAGACGGAAGTAAACGTCAAAACATAAGCTAATAACAACGCTAACTTACTATTGTCTGGTATAGAAGAACCAACACCTTCATTTCCACTGAGAAGACAAGATCAATGTTTCTAAACTAAAATATCGTCTCTGCCGTTAGTGTTGTCTCGTGTCGGACGATCTAACAATGGGATGTATTATAGCTCTGTAGATTCAAAGCTTTTTAAACCCCACATTGTTCTATTGCCACCAATCCCAAAGGGCATAATTTGTGTAAGTTAGACTGTGAAATACTGAAGCATAAAGTAGTTTGGTTAAATCTGGTGACAATAAGCAAAGCATGAGGCCCATAAAACAGACAGAGCTGCTTCTGTTTATTGCTAATTATCTCGTTTTCATCTGCAGCCACTGATTGTATGAATAAATTAGACGATGGATTTACATTTTGTCAATAATAAGAGCAGTCCACAACTCTCACTCCTGTCTCATAACACACACACAAGAGACGGATATCACAGTGGAAGCAGCAAGTGATAAATGCTGAGAACAGAGAAACTCTTCAGGATGGAGGATTGATACGGAGAGAGATTTCAGGGGGGCTTAGAGTAGAGACACTGCTCCTCTGTGTTTGGAGGAGCCCTTCTCGACTTACACCAGAGAGGGAGAGACCATAGAGAGAGAGACGGGAGAGAGAGAGAGGGAGAGAGACTGGAAGGAGAGAGAGGGAGACCAAAGAGAGAGGGGGTAAGAGAGGGAAGGAGACCAGAAAGAGACGCCTAAGATAGAGAGAGACTGGAGAGAGAGAGAGAGACCTGATAGGGAGAGGGAGACATCTGAGAGAGAGAGGAAGAGGGCAAGAGAGAGAGACTGGAGAGGGAGGGAGAGAGAGATATAGACTGGAGAGAGAGACCGAGGAGAGAGAAAGAGAGACAGAGAGATAGGGAGAGAAGGAGACCAGAAAGAGAGAGGGGGCAAGAGAGAGAATGAAAACAGAAAGAGAGACCGATAGGGAGAGATCTGAGAGAGAGAGGAAGAGGGCAAGAGAGAGAGACTGGAGAGGGAGGGAGAGAGAGAGAGAGAGAGAGAGAGAGACTGGAGAGAGACCGGGGGGAGAGAGAGGGAGACCGAGAGATAGGGAGAGGGAGAGATCTGAGAGGGAGGAAAAGGGCAAGAGAGAGAGTCTAGCGAGAGAGAGAGACTGGAGAGAGAGACAGGGAGAGAGACCGGGGGAGATAGAGGGAGACAGAGAGATAGGGAGAGAAGGAGACCAGAAAGGGAGAAAGGGCAAGAGAGAGAGAGATAACATAAAGAGCGACTGGAGAGAGAGGGCAAGAGAGAGAAAGAGGATAGGGAGGGAGAGAGAGAGAGACTGGAGAGTGAGACAGGGAGAGAGACTGGGGGGAGAGAGAAGGAGACAGAGAGATAGGGAGAGAAGGAGACCAGAAAGGGAGAAAGGGCAAGAGAGAGAGAGATAACATAAAGAGCGACTGGAGAGAGAGGGCAAGAGAGAGAAAGAGGATAGGGAGGGAGAGAGAGAGAGACTGGAGAGTGAGACAGAGAGAGAGACTGGGGGGAGAGAGAAGGAGACAGAGAGATAGGGAGAGAAGGAGACCAGAAACAGAGACTAGAGAGAGAGAGGGAGAGATCTGAAACAGAGAGAGACCAGAGAGGGAGAGCTCTGAGAGATAGAGGAAGAGGGCAAGAGAGAGAGACCAGAGAGGAAAAGAGAGAGTTTTCCGAAAGTTCACAACGCTTGTGACTCTGCACATTCAATATTATTATTTTTATTGGATTACAGGAAATCCCAGATCTAAGATTCCACTGCACTTTCAAACTCTGAATAATGGATGAGCTGATCTGGTTTCCCTGGGTCTGGGGAGGGTCTCTCTGTCAGACTTCCATGGCCTGGTCTCTCTCTCTCACTCTCTCTGAGCTGCTCTTGTGCCTTGTTTGGAGTCACTGAAACCCATAGAACGAGAGAAAAACTCTTTTATAGTTTTGCTGAATGTGGCCGAGAGGCTAAAACAACACTTCAGTCGCCGTAACATTTGAATGTGTCCTTAGACCCTTCTGCTTCTGCAAGAAACAAGACTGAAAACACAGAGGGGGACCGTATTCTGTGCTTGTTTTAAAGCAGAGAGAGAGGGAGCGAGAGAGAGAGAATGACCAGAGAGAAAGACTGGAGAGAGGGAAAGAGAGAGAGAGAGAAAGACTGGAGAGGGAGAGAGAACAGAGAGTGAGACCAGAGAGACCAGAGAGTGAGACCAGAGAGTGAGACCAGAGAGTGAGACCAGAGAGTGAGACCAGAGAGTGAGACCAGAGAGTGAGACCAGAGAGTGAGACCAGAGAGTGAGACCAGAGAGTGAGACCAGAGAGTGAGACCAGAGAGTGAGACCAGAGAGTGAGACCAGAGAGTGAGACCAGAGAGTGAGACCAGAGAGTGAGACCAGAGAGTGAGACCAGAGAGTGAGACCAGAGAGTGAGACCAGAGAGTGAGACCAGAGAGTGAGACCAGAGAGTGAGACCAGAGAGTGAGACCAGAGAGTGAGACCAGAGAGTGAGACCAGAGAGTGAGACCAGAGAGTGAGACCAGAGAGTGAGACCAGAGAGTGAGACCAGAGAGTGAGACCAGAGAGTGAGACCAGAGAGTGGGAGACCAGAGAGTGGGAGACCAGAGAGTGGGAGACCAGAGAGTGGGAGACCAGAGAGTGGGAGACCAGAGAGTGGGAGACCAGAGAGTGGGAGACCAGAGAGTGGGAGACCAGAGAGTGGGAGACCAGAGAAAGAATGACTGAAAGGGGAATTTGACTCTATCCTTTGACCCTCCTGCATCTGTAAGCAACAACTCTAAAGCAGATACAAAGTCGATCTCTCTCCGTCAGAGTTAAAGCTAAAACTCTGCGTACAATGGATCACACGCTGTTATCTCATGCCCCATATCGTGTGCATTAGAAAGCATCATTAAAAATAGCAGAATTCACAGCCTCCAATCTCTCACATCTCACAGCCGCGATAACGCCACATCCTTTAGAAGTTTATCAGCCGATCATATCTACTCTCACAGACTCGGAAAAACTTTAAGACAAGAGTATGAGGGGTTAGGGTCTCTCTCTGGTCCCTCACTCCGGTCTTTCTCACTCCAGTCTTTCTCTCTCTGGTCGCTCTCCAGTCTCGCTCCCCGGTCGCTCTCTCCAGTCGCTCTCCGCTCTCTCTCTCTCCAGTCGCTCTCCGCTCTCTCTCTCTCCGGTCGCTCTCCGCTCTCTCTCTCTCCGGTCGCTCTCCGGCCTCTCTCTCCGGTCTCTCTCTAGTCTCTCTCTCTCTAGTCTTTCTCTCTGGTCCCTCTCTTTCCAGTCTTTCTCTCTGTGGTCTTTCTCTTGGTCCCTCTCTCCATTCTCTCTCTCTCCGCTCTCTCTCCAGTCTCTCTCCGCTCTCTCTACACTCTCTCTGGTCTCTCTCTGGTCTCTCTTTCTCTCTCTGTCTCTCTCACTCTCTCCGGTCTCTCTCTCTGGTCTCTCTCTCTCTGGTCTCTCTCTCTGGTCTCTCTTTCTGGTCTCTCTCTGGTCTCTCTCTTTCCAGTCATTCTCTGTGGTTTCTCTCTCTCTCTGTGTGGTCTCTCTTGGTCCCTCTCTCCATTCTCTCTCTCTCTCTCTCCGGTTTCTCTCCGGTCTCTCTCTGGTCTCTCTCTCTCCGGTCTCTCTCTTTGGTCTCTCTCCGGTCACTTTCTCGTCACTTTCAGACTCTGGTTTTATCAGACTATGGTTTTCATCTCCCGGAGGATCAAAAACAAGGACAACATTGAGAACAATGTGGAGATTTGAGGTTCTGCACCGACAGGCTGCTGACGAAGAGCAGAATAGAAGAGGGAGAAGGGAAAGACACAGAGGGAGGGAGGGGGGTGAGCATAACATGACAGTTACCCTTATTTAAAGTCTCGCTCTGGTCTCTCTCTCTCTGGTCTCTCTCCGGTCTCTTTTTCCGGTTTCGCTGCCTCTTTCGATCTCTTTGGTCTCTCTCTCCACTCTCTATCCGGTCTCTCTCTCTGGTATCACACTCCGGCCTCTTTCTCCCGTTTTTTTCTCGCTGTCTCATTCTCTTTCTTCCCTGGAGTTTTTTTTAGGGTGAGGTGAGGTGAGGAAGTGGTGTTTGGCTCGCCCCTGTCCCAGAGCAGTGGCAGGAGAACAATGAGAGGCCTGTTAGTGAAGCGTGGAGAGAGGTGAGGTGAGGGAGAGAGGGAGGGAGGGGAGAGAGGAGAGGAGAGGTGAGGTGAGGGAGGGAGAGAGGGAGGGAGGGGAGGGAGGGAGGTGAGGCGTGAGGTGGGGGAGGGAGGGAGAGAGGTAGAGAGGTGAGGGAGGTGTGGGGGCTTAAGAGAACCATGTGACAAATTTTCATGACAAAAGTGATGTAGATGGAATGGCATGATGTGGATCAGAACGGCACGGATCTCTCTCTGGTGTCTCTCTCTCTCTCCGGTTTACTGAGGCTGTAGATCCAGGACTGAGGCTGTAGAGCCAGGTCTGAGGCTGTAGAGCCAGGTCTGAGGCTGTAGATCCAGGACTGAGGCTGTAGAACCAGGACTGAGGCTGTAGAGCCAGGTCTGAGGCTGTAGAGCCAGGTCTGAGGCTGTAGATCCAGGACTGAGGCTGTAGATCCAGGACTGAGGCTTGTAGATCCAGCACACACACACACACACGCTTGCACATGCACACACAAACACACACACAAAATAAAGAAAAGAACAGGATTCTGTTTCTTTTGTTGGTACATTTTTTACCAAAAACATCAAATGAATTATCGATAATCAAAGTCAAATTGTGCCAAAAAGGCTGGATGCTTTTAGAGTAAAGATTCTTTTAAAATTGTTCACTTGAAATATTAAACTGTAGAAAAACATAGCGTCACATTCTAAAACACAGATGGATTGAATGGTGCAAAGGTGAAACCACAGAGCTTCCCTTTATTCCAGTTCAGTGAAGGAAAAGTAACAATAATCATCATCACATACTTTTAGCAAAGTCTTATCATTGGATGTGAGACCTCATCAGAAACACACCCACAGTGACCACACCCACAGTGACCACACCCACATTGACCTCAGCCGCAGTGACCACAGCCGCAGTGACCACACCCACAGTGACCACACCCACAGTGACCACACCCACAGTGACCTCAGCCGCAGTGACCACAGCCGCAGTGACCACACCCACAGTGACCTCAGCCGCAGTGACCACACCCACAGTGACCTCAGCCGCAGTGACCACAGCCGCAGTGACCACACCCACAGTGACCTCAGCCGCAGTGACCACACCCACAGTGACCTCAGCCACAGTGACCACACCCACAGTGACCTCAGCCGCAGTGACCACAGCCGCAGTGACCACACCAACAGTGACCACAGCGGCAGTGACCACACCCACAGTGACCACAGCTGCAGTGACCACAGCCGCAGTGACCACACCAACAGTGACCACAGCCGCAGTGACCACACCAACAGTGACCACACCAACAGTGACCACAGTGGCAGTGACCACACCCACAGTGACCACAGCCGCAGTGACCACACCCACAGTGACCACACCCACAGTGACCACACCCACATTGACCTCAGCCGCGTGACCACAGCCGCAGTGACCACACCCACAGTGACCACACCCACAGTGACCACACCCACAGTGACCTCAGCCGCAGTGACCACAGCCGCAGTGACCACACCCACAGTGACCTCAGCCGCAGTGACCACAGCCGCAGTGACCACACCCACAGTGACCTCAGCCGCAGTGACCACACCCACAGTGACCTCAGCCGCAGTGACCACAGCCGCAGTGACCACACCCACAGTGACCTCAGCCGCAGTGACCACACCCACAGTGACCTCAGCCACAGTGACCACACCCACAGTGACCTCAGCCGCAGTGACCACAGCCGCAGTGACCACACCAACAGTGACCACAGCGGCAGTGACCACACCCACAGTGACCACAGCTGCAGTGACCACAGCCGCAGTGACCACACCCACAGTGACCACAGCCGCAGTGACCACACCAACAGTGACCACAGTGGCAGTGACCACACCCACAGTGACCACAGCCGCAGTGACCACAGCCGCAGTGACCACAGCCGCAGTGACCACACCCACAGTGACCACACCCACAGTGACCACAGCCGCAGTGACCACACCCACAGTGACCACAGCCGCAGTGACCACACCCACAGTGACCACACCCACAGTGACCACAGCCGCAGTGACCACACCCACAGTGACCCCAGCCGCAGTGACCACACCCACAGTGACCACAGCCGCAGTGACCACACCCACAGTGACCACAGCCGCAGTGACCACGGCCTCCTCTCACGCCATCAGCAGCAGAATCAACACAAATCCGCTCTTGTTTTCGGTGACCCCCGCTGTTTCCCAGATTGCCAATTCCACAACCTGGCAACCGCTGCTAGATTAAGGCAATATGTGCTACCTATGAGCTGAAATGCGCTCCTGCAGAGCCAACGCAATATCAGCGGAATCAAAGAACAGCTCGCCCCACGCTCCCGGCTTCATACTCTCCCACATATTAACTGGAAGTGAGATTCTGGATCATTCCGAAAGTCTCACAAGAGCATGAGGAAAACACATGTTATTACAGACAGAAGAGAAGAGGATTATAGACTGTCTCTCTATCTGGTCTCTCTCTAATCTCTCTCTGGTCTCTCTCTGTTCTCTCTCTGGTCTCTCTCTGGTCTCTCTCTGGTCTCTCTCTGGTCTCTCTCTGGTCTCTCTCTGGTCTCTCTCTGGTCTCTCTCTGGTCTCTCTCTGGTCTCTCTCTGGTCTCTCTCTGGTCTCTCTCTGGTCTCTCTCTGGTCTCTCTCTGGTCTCTCTTATGGTCTCTATCTGGTCTCTCTCTAATCTCTCTCTGGTCTCTATCTGGTCTCTCTCTAGTCCAGGGGTCGGCAACGTTTGTGACATGGAGTGCCAGTTTGAAATTTTCTTCTCATCTAGTGTGCCATTACCATTGATAAACGCAAAGTTAAAAATGACACAATACATAAACATTTCCAATATACTTGGAATTTTATTCTCAACAATAACAGTATCTGTATTTCAAAATAATTTATAAACATTTCAAAGACTGAAAAACAGCTAGTGTAGCATATAACAATAGTAAGTCCAGTAAACTGATTGTATTTGGGCTCAGACCAGAAGCTAAGATTCGGTTCACAGAGGGAGAGGTGTTTAAAATCACAGATAACAAAGACAGTGGTATGGTCCAGATGTGAAATAAAAGATAGATATTAGGGGTGCAATGGTTTGAAAAAAATCACGGTTGAGATCGTACCTCGGTTCATTTTTCAAAAAAAAAAAAAGGTTTTGTCTATTTAATAAACAAGGCTCCTGTGGACTCGGCACCTGCAGGAGGATCAGTGAGGGGCTGGTGCTCTGTGTACTGGGTGCAGCTCTGACTGCCACCCCCCCTGACCTAGAAATGGATTAAGGGGAAGAAAATGGATGGCATATTCCATCCATCCAATTATGTCTTTTTAACATAATTAATGAAAAACACAAAGTGCAACATAAGAAGGCACTTTATGAGAATATTTACTCTCATATATTAAACCACCTGATTCTCCCGAGGAGGCGCTCCATTTTGGGCCAGCCTCATTCACTGCATTTATTTAATTTTTGGCATTATCAGTTGTAACTGGGATATTAGTACTGGGCCTTTGTCTTCCATTCCTCCGCTGCTGTGTCAGTACCTGTGCTGTGTGTGTCAGTACCTGTGCTGTGTGCCTGTACCTGTGCTGTGTGCCTGTACCTGTGCTGTGTGCCTGTACCTGGGCTGTGTGCCTGTACCTGTGCTGCTGTGTCAGTACCTGTGCTGTGTGCCTGTACCTGGGCTGTGTGCCTGTACCTGTGCTGCTGTGTGCCTGTACCTGTGCTGTGTGCCTGTACCTGGGCTGTGTGCCTGTACCTGTGCTGTGTCAGTACCTGTGCTGTGTGCCTGTACTGACACACTTGACTTTCGTAGAGGGGGCGTGTCTGCAACGCCCGACTTTTCATCTCGCAGTCTGCAGTGAGGAAGTGAGCGGCTATCGTAACATTTCATGGTCATCTCAACCGCTCATGGATCTATTATAGGTTCTGTTCCGCTCATGGATCTATTATAGGTTCCGCGGGACGTCCAAGCGTCAGTTGTGAGCCCAACTGAGGATACGCGGGAGAGTTGACTTTAGCCCGGTCTGACTGTGCGTAAAGGGTCGGTCTTGTGCCACAGTATTTACACTGTGACTGTTTTGTCGACTATTTAATCATCAGTATAGTTACAGTGAAGCCAAAATGCTCTCCTACCGGGGATTTAAATGACACAGGCTTCTCTGTTCCTCCGCTCGCCATGATTACGCTGTGTGTGAACTAAACAACATAGTGGGAGTGCACAACTTTTTTTTCATAAATCAAACCGCGGATCACGTCTGTACCGAACCGAAGACGTTGATCTGAACAGATCACGGATCAGTGATGAACCGTTGCACCTCTAATAGATATTTACAAAGGCAGGGGATAGATTACACACACACACACACCCCACATTCACAATATTTACAAAAAATAATTGAACGGGTTTTGAGTGAGAGAGTCCGGTTGAGAGTTGGGTTTGGCAGGTTGGTTTGAAAAGGTGGAGCGTGTACTTTGCAGTAATCCAGTTCAGGTTATTGTCTCAGTTTGTGGTGGTGTGTGGGGGAGCAAAGACTGCTCGCCTTCTACCGCACTGTAGGGTTGACAATCTCTAGGTTTTCGGCCTGGGGCAGCTTGCCATCAGAAGAAGTCCATATGGACGGACGGATCCAAGGAACCTGGCCTGCATGACAGGACCAATATAAATATCCAACAGTTTCATTTAGCAATATATCACTACTACAAATATACATGTACATGTTCAATAAATATATACTCAATAATCAGAGTGCTCATTCTCACTTCATAATTCACAATTAATCCTCTGCACCATAAATCACAATACAATTCATTCAGTTCAGTGCACATATCAAAAATAAATGTATTAATACTTTTGGTTCAAGAGCACACAAGCAAATGTCATGCTCTGGTAACCATACATGAGCACATAAAAAGGCATAGTCGGCTACACAGGGAATCAACATGAGAACAACAATATTCGAGTTCAACATCGCATCAGAGGCTAGCGCTAGCATTCTAGCTCTGTGCAGCACAAAAATGCTTAAACTCACCAGTTCCCTCTTTGATTTCACGCACACAGTGTTGACAGCGTGTCACAGTGATTGTAGGAGGCGTCTGCAGTGAATGGCACACCAGTTACTACTTTGAATGTGCAAAAAGAAGTTTAAATCTCGCATACACCTGCAGCTTCAGACTCCTGGCTCCACCCACAGCTACACACGTGTGTGTGTGAGGGAAGCACGCAGCTTATCCCCGCGGTGGTGTCCGCTGGGACCTAGTGCCGGCTATCAAATAGCGCTCAGACAAAGAGGGAGATGCTCTTATTTTTAAAACAGGACAGATACAGTGAGAATAATGCGGAGGTGCCGGCGTGCCAGTGTTTATTCCTAGTTGCCGACCCCTGCTCTAGTCTCTCTCTGGTCTCTCTCTAGTCTCTCTCTGGTCTCTCTCTGGTCTCTCTGTGGTCTTTATCTCTGTTTTTTTCTCATGGTCTCTCTCTGGTCTCTCTCTGTCTTCTCTCTGGTCTCTCTCTGGTCTCTCTCTATATCTCACTGGTCTCTCTCTGGTCTCTCTGGTCTCTCTCTGGTCTCCCTCTGGTCTCCCACTCGTCTCTCTCTGGTCTCTCTATGGTCTCTCTATGGTCTCTCTCTGGTCTCCCTCTGGTCTCTCTAGTCTCTCTCTGGTCTCTCATGGTCTCTCTCTGGTCTCTCTCTGGTCTCTCTATGGTCTGTCTATGGTCTCTCTCTGGTCTCTCTCTGGTCTCTCTCTGGTCTCTCTATGGTCTCTCTCTGGTCTCTCTCTGGTCTCTCTCTGGTCTCTCTCTGGTCTCTCTCTGGTCTCTCTCTGGTCTCTCTATGGTCTCTCTCTGGTCTCTCTATGGTCTCTCTCTGGTCTCTCTCTGGTCTCTCTCTGGTCTCTCTCTGGTCTCTCACTGGTCTCTCTCTGGTCTCTCTCTGGTCTCTCTCTGGTCTCTCTCTGGTCTCTCTCTGGTCTCTCTCTGGTCTCTCTCTGGTCTCTCACTGGTCTCTCTCTGGTCTCTCTCTCGTCTCTCTCTGGTCTCTCTTCAGTTTAATCTTTACAAAACATGTCACAAATGTGCACTTTTACTCTGTCCCTGTGTGCTCAGCTTTTTCGATGTCGTGACATTTCTGTTCATGACCTCCAGGTCCTGTAATCCTCTTGTACACATTGGTCTGTGAACACACCAGGTGTGGGACCAGGAGGAGTCTGTGGAGAAAGGATTATCCTCTGTATCATGTGAGTTTGTCGGCTACAGCACAGACTACACCCGGGACCAGTAATCAGGGACCAGGGACAAGGGACCAGGGACGAAAGGAGGACTGGACTGACCCAGTGCTGTCGTCAGGGTTGCAACTTTAAAGTGGGGAGTTTTGGAAATATTGAAAACTAATGATAAAATCCCCACTGCCTCCAAAACGTCCACATGAAACTTGCTTATTTAGCATCTAAGGCATGAGCTCAGTTTCCAGTAGACAGTAGGTATTTACAATTTAAACATGTATTAAAAATATTTCCAGTTGTATCAAATCGTTTAGTTAGTTGTTCACGTGATTCATATAAAGAACCAAGTGATATTTAAATGTTACAAACCTGCGGCTTATATTCGGGTGCGGCTTGTGTGTGGGCAACTTTTAGTTTTTTGGTTTTTTAATGCAGCTGTTGTGGTTTAGATACAGGTGAAGAGTCCAATAAGTACTTGAATACTCACACACATACATTACCACATTTCACAACAATACTGAATTATTGCTGCATTTTTCGTCTTTTGTTAGAGATCGGAATTGTGGATTGAGTATGTAAGGGTTAATGTATGTTACGCAGGTCATTATCAGAAAATAAGTACCGACAGGGAGAAGTGGACCGACGCAAATTCTGACCGACGCAAATTCTGACCGACGCAAATTCTGAACATCATCAGTGAGTGACGCATACAGAAATCTGACCTAAAACCATAATTCAATCCTCTGCATATGTTCCTAAAATGTCCCAGAATCTACTTCCGGGTTTTTCGCGACCGCTTTTTCTCGCATTAATACAGTATATTTGTCTTGAAAACCTTACTACTTGCGGAGTAATCTACAGATCTGAATTACAAGCAGAGAGTGCGTTGCCAAAGGACAGCGGTCATTATTGTTTTGAGAGGTCGGTTATAAAGAAATAATGACAATTACATTCAAATCAACGGAGCGTTCTCCTGCTGCTGCGAGGAGCCTGTAATAACACAAAATATGGACAAATAAATTCAAAACAGATCTAAATAATCATGGTCACACTTTAGATCAGCCTGAACTAATTAGCAGCTAATGAGTGACCCCTAACCCTAACCCACATGGGAAAGTGTCAGTGAGTAGTAGATAGATGTAGAATAAGAACTGATAAGTGTTTGATAAATACCAATTAGGAGCAAATTAACCATAATGTAAACACTCATTAGCACTGGATGAGCTGGGGTTTTTTTCGTTTTTTTTAGCTTCTAATTGAGATTAATCATGTCCTGTATACGGTCTCTGTCACTTCTACAGCAGACACAGCATTTTCATAAAACCATAAAGCTGTCATGATTGTCATTTTTAGTTCCTGTTTTATTTTGTAATCGTCTGGTCTCCTGTGTCTTTTTGTGTTGATTGCCCCGCCCTGCTGTGCTTCACCTGTGTTTTCCAGTTCAATTCCCTCTGCTTTGTCAGTCCGTCTAATGTTTGTTCCGTGGTTCTTGTCTTCATCTGCACTTCTTGTGTTAAGTTTTGTCTTTTGGATTCTTGTTTTTTAAATTATGTTATTTTTGCAGTATTGAATTTTGGGTCATTCCTTCCCTTCCACCACGGCACAAAAACAAGAAGAAGATTTTTTCATAAAGAACCAAAGCCGTTAGGTATTTTATGGAGAGAGCAGAGACTGGTGTCACACATCACGGGGTCTCCAACCTTTTTCAGTCCGAGAGCTACTTCTATAGAAAGGCAGAGAGCTACTCCTTTTTGCAATCGCAAAAAAAATCTTTCTAATAATTACGAAAAAACATGGAGAACACATGTATACAATGTACATTGTGGTAAATAAATCTAAGGCAACCAAAGTGAGACTGGCATAATGTGAAAACGAATATTAGCCTTGTTAGCATGTTTTATGATATCAAGTAGAGTTAGCTAACTTGCCCAACACTAGTTTGCTTGAATCTCACAAATGAGGCTAAAAGGTTAAAAGAGTTGCACACTATTTTGTACAAAACGGATGAAAATATGTTTATACCTTGTTCAGATGACAGTGAAACCTCCTACAGATTCCAGCTTAAGCCTGGTTCACACGGCAGGATATTTAGGCCGATTTAGACCCGATTTACCCCTTACGACAATCTTAAGAAACGCTCCGATTTCCGTAACAAAATCTTACAGATTATCCTGCCGTGTGTGGTGTGTTAAGACTGCACTCGTCGCTCGGAAGGACATCGGGACTGCTCCCGATCTCAAATCGGGGATATCCAACATGTTGGATTGTTTTGGCCCGATTTCTTGTCGTGTGTGGTGTCCTCCGAGGACAAGCGAGCGCGTTGCCATGACTACGGCGTGTAGCCAATAAGAAGACGAGGTGACAAGCCGGTGAGGAAACACCGGAAAAAAAAACAAAACACAGCAGCATGGCTTTGACCATTGCCTTTTCTTTGGATTACGTGTCTTCTCTGTTAACAACAAACTGCACACTATCGCCACTGCATCCTCTTCGTCCGCCATGACTGTTTACTCTGAAGTCACGCTTGATCTCGAGAGATTTCCGTGTGACCTGGGAATGCTCGGGGGGGGGGGTTGTCGGTTCGTGTGTGATGTTTGTGGCTTGCGTGATCTTGCCGTGTGGCTACGCACCACACACTGCACGACCAAAGTGGTTAGACGCAGGATTTTTAATCTCCCCGTGTGGGGTCTAACACGGAGAAAAATCGGCCGTCAATTTTAAAATCGTCTCGTGTGAACCAGGCTTTAGACTGCTGCTGCTGCTGTGAAAGGTCCTTCTCCTACGTCATCGCCGCCATTTTGGCTTCCCCCAAGCGTTTGTTATAAGGTGCCACTTCAAAGCCGTTTTTTTAACATAATTCATCTGAACATGTCAAAATGAACACCGGAAATATTCATCCATCCATCCATTTTCTACCCTTTAATCCATTTCTGGGTCAGGGGGGTGGCAGTCAGAGATGTCACCCAAGTCTCATAGCACCAGCCCCTCACTGACCCTCTGCAGGTGGTGAGTCCACAGGAGGACGGCTGCTCTCTGAGTGTGAGCATAGCCTTGATCTTTCAGTGGGGGCTTTGGGCAAAGTGGGGTTAAGTGTCTTGCCCAAGGACACAACGACAGCAGTCATCAGTGGGAGTCGGTGGAGAAGGTGTAGAGGTGGGAATTGAACCCACAACCTTCAGGCCTGAAGGTAGCATATTAAATTCTAGTACTACTTTAAGGCTATACATAAACACATTGAATTGAAAGAGTAATGAAGATAGATTTAATGTCTTACAATGATACAGATTAATTCTTGTTTAAAATCTGCACTTACTACATCAAAGCATCAGTTTGGGAGCAAAAGTCAGGAACTTTATCAGAGTCGACATTCTGCACATTCTTGTGGCTTGCAGACTTTTCTATACTTTTTATACTTTTGGTCCAAAGAGCTGTGAGTTTTTGAAGGTGTTACAAAGTTGGGAATCTTGTTAAAACGACGATGGCATTTTAACAACTTTCTTATATTGGGCTCATTTTTGTGGTTCTCCAGTCGCTGGTCAGCAAGTTTTACACTCTCTCGGCTGTTTGGACTTTTGTCAAATCTTTCTTCAGACTACGACCGCGAAAACTGCTTTTATGGCCTAAAACCTGGTAGAAAAAGTAGTGTTCTAGCAGGAGGCCAGTCCCTGTGCTCCTCAGAGTCCCAGCAGGAGGCCAGTCCCTGTGCTCCTCAGAGTCTCAGCAAGAGGCCAGTCCCTGTGCTCCTCAGAGTCCCAGCAGGAGGCCAGTCCCTGTGCTCCTCAGAGTCTCAGCAAGAGGCCAGTCCCTGTGCTCCTCAGAGTCCCAGCAGGAGGCCAGTCCCTGTGCTCCTCAGAGTCTCAGCAAGAGGCCAGTCCCTGTGCTCCTCAGAGTCTCAGCAGGAGGCCAGTCCCTGTGCTCCTCAGAGTCCAAGCAGGAGGCCAGTCCCTGTGCTCCTCAAGAGTCCCAGCAGAACTCGAGATTGATTATGAAACCGATTTGTTTGTGATATTGATTGACATTTTCAACAGTCAATTCTCCCAATTTGTCTGTATACTCCAGACTTCCCAGAGGCCTCCCATCACAGTTCTAACGAGGCCCTGCCCTGCTCAGCTTCTTAGTTCTGGCAGGATCAGCCTTTCACCTAATTTTGTACACTACAAGAAGTGATAAACACCAAATTAAGACACATTTTGCCAAATTTGACACATTATTCATTTATTTTCCACCACTGTTTGCAGTGTCATACACAAACGCACATGAACGTCACTACCTTTTTTAGGTCCATACAAATACAACATGAGCATGCAAACATTCATACAAGCATTAACCTGGGGTCGGTGTGTGTGTGCGCGCGCGTGTGTGTGTGTGCGTGTGTGTTTGTGTATTCACTTTGTGTGTATGGATTGGGAATCTGATGGTGTTGATGGTTTTGGTTTATTGACCGGTAGCAAGAGAGAAAGAGAGAGGAGGAAAAGTCTCTCTGTAACATCTGCAGAAGGAGCAGTGGAACTCTCCTCTTTCTTTGCGTCCAACACGATTATTCGCACCGACAGGATTACGCAAATCTGGAGAGCTCCTTCAAAGCTTTTCTAAATGCAGACTTTTGGCTCCGCATTTGGGACGCTCGCTCGCACCTCTACCGCCGCCGCCGCCGCAGCTGCCAGCTCCTGCAAATTGAAAAGAGTCGAAAATGGGATCACGGCTTCTCGGTGTAAATCTGCGTGTTTTCAAACGCCGCTCACGCTGACGGGGCCATGACCTGCTGTCGAGTCCAGGTCCACGGCCTGTCTCGGTCTGGGCTCGGTCCCGACGCAGCAGTGGGAGTCTCTCAAAGTGGATGCTAATGCTACAAACGTCTGATCTGAGCCGCGTCCTTGTTGCTTCTTGTTTGGAGGAAAAAAGACAAATGTGCAAATGTCGTCCCAATTGCCTGGCGTTTGGGATGTTAGCGAACAGACATAAAAGAGTTAGCATAAAAGAGTTTCTGCACAGAACGAAGCTGCTGTGAGATCGAT